AGGCCTAGTCCCACCAAACAGACAGGGTTTCCCCCTGTGGAATTCTCTGTGGACAGTCCCTCCTCCTATAAGGGCATAAAGGGGGTACTTGAAGGAGCTTGGAAATCTCACTCTTGAGTTGATAGATGCAGGCATTAGGCTTAACCAGGGGATGCTTTTTCAAGCCAGGACATGCTGTTAGGATAAAAGAATAGAAGGTGCAAGGCTTGCAACCCCTCTGCAGGGGCCCATTCATGTTACCCTCCACCCCCACTGCAGTAAAGGTGCTTGAGGTAGTCATCTGGATTCTCTACAGCAGAGTAAAGCCAGTGTCTCCAGACTGAGTGTCTGACCCAACTCATTGGTGCTTTGTAAGCTGACCACCTAGAAGAAGCAGGCCAAGATCTCAGGAATAGCACTGAGAGAGGACAGCCCATTCCAGTTACACCAGATGTCCGAGGCAGAAGCCTGAGGACACCACTAACTGGCAACATGGACGGGTAGCATGCTTTGTGTGACTGTGGTGGACTGCCATCCCTTGCCCCGAACCCCACTTGGGTCTCTAGCCCAGATTTTTGCCCAGACTCTGAAGGTCTCTTCTTGTCACATATATGGAAGAGCCAACACAGGGCATCAATGGCTCTGGGAAGCTGAGAGTTAGATCCTATCCTCATGAACCTTACACTGGTGCAGTGTGCCCCTGCTCTACTTCAGGGGTTGGGCTTTACGACCTCCACAGTTGGAAAAAACTGTCTTGCCTGCTGGGGAGTACAGTTCCACATCTCTGTAGGAAGCCTAATGTGCCTGGGTCAAAGGTCCTGCAACCCAACTGTCAGGAACACCCAGTGGTAGGGCTTTCCTGACTATTTTGAACTAAACCCTCACCCCTGGTCAAACTTTTTCCCTCTAAGGTGTGCTTGTTGATACTGACATACAATGCAGGCCATCACACAACTGTTAAATATGTAGATGAACTGTATATGCTGTATGTCCCCCAGACTGGTCAGCGTTTTATGCGTTAGGGATGATCCACCTGTTGCTCTGTACTCCAGTTGCCAAGGGAGAACATCTGGGTGCCCAAAGGTATGGAAACAGGGGCACCACACCCACATTCATAGGCTAAACTGCATAATTAGACTGCTAGTATTTGTAGAAATTATAACTAATGAAACTTCTTTCTTTTTTCTTTTTTTGCAGAGCCGGGGATTGAACTGACAGGCCCTTGTTCTTGCCAGGCAAGCGCTTATTCAACTGAGCTATCTCCCCAGCCCCTAAAGCTCTTAACTTGTTAGCCAAACAATAGACCAAAATGCACACTGCCATCTATCAAAATCACTTGGCCTAGATTATCTAATTGCTTCTGAGGGAGGGGCTTGTGGGAAATTCATTGATTTATTGGTATTTGTAATTGAACTCAGGACCTCATGCTTGCCCAGCAGGTGCCGTGCCACTGAGCCGTATCTCCAGCCCATTTGTGGGAAATTTAACCTAAGGAACTGCTGCCCACAAAGATGATAAAGGAAATGTGGGGTCCCAGGGAACTGTGTTGGAGGATGGTTTCCTTTCCTTTCATTCAGTGATCCTCCCCTCTCAGCCTCCCCAGTGCTGGGATTCAGCCATACGCCACCACGCATGGTTCCGGCCAGCATGGCATGCAGTTCCAGGGATCGAACCTGAGTCATTGTGCCTGGCAGGCAGGCACTTAGACTCCACACTATCCCCCTGACTCCTGTGTTCTTCTTCTTCTTCTTCTTCTTTTTTTTTTTTTTTTTTTTTTTTTTTTTTGCAGACCCGGGGATTGAACTCAGGCCCTTGTGCTTGCCAGGCAAGCACTTATTCTACTGAGCCATCCCCCCGCTGCCCTCCCCGACTCCTGAGGGATATTCTTCCCCCGGGAACTACTGGGGTATTCAAAACCCTCAAAGGCATTAAACCTCTGATTTGGAGAACTGTTTGATCGCGCCTGGCCTGGCTCCCTTGGTTATCCATCCTGTGTCGAGCCTCTCTGAGACCATGGTTGAGAGAAAAGTGACTGCGCTTAAGTGATATTATAGAAATATAAACCGCTACGCTAGGATGATGCTCTTTGGCCAAAATAGGGCGGGTCGTGGTGGCGGACGCCTGTAATCCCAATGCCGGAGAGGCTGCGACAGGAGGAGCACTACAGTCCGAGCTGCCCGGAGTGGGGCTGGGGGGTTCTCCAACCGGGCAGACGGGCCACCACCTGACCCAGCTCTTGTCTTTCTTTTCCTCATTCCTGCTGCCGTTTCTCCCTGGGTACAACGGATCACACTGAGAGACCAATGGATCCCAACACTTTTTAGCCCGGACAGGTCTCAAACTCGCAAAGACCTCCCTGCTTCAGCCTCCCGAGCGCTGGGATTTCAGGGAGGCACCTCCAAGCCCGGCTTTTAGGTTGTCTTAACCGCACGGTGTAAATTCAAAGGTAATGTACTCACCGCACTGTGGCAGCACGGCCCGCGATCGCGCCGCACCCTTCTGTGTCCGGATGCCTCGCCCGGGCTCTTTTTTGCCACCTCTAGCTCTGCCCCTCACACCTTGCTCCACCTCCTCCAAGGTGCCAGCCCAGAGGGAGGGCGGCCGGCTCCTGCTCCTTTCTCCCCTCGCGTGCGTCCGTCGCTGGGGAAGCGTTGCGTCTCCATAGAAACCCCCACTTCCGGCAGGGAGTAGCTCTCAGTGGCAAGCGCAACGTCCCGAGTTAACCGAAGAAAAAAAGGACTCCCCCACCCCCAGAAAAAAAGGAAAGAAAGAAGAAACTCCCACTTCCGAGGTCTGCTTGGCCGCTAATTCAGTCTTCCCTGCTCCTGCTACTTGACCTGCAGGAATGTACCGGGAATACAGATGGACGGGTTGTTACAGGAATGACTATCCCGCCTTCCGAGCCCAAAATCCAGTCTCTGACTGGTTCACGTAGTTTAAGCTCGAACCCTTCACTGCCGGGCGGGAGGGGCACACCAGCACTGCGGAGGCCGCAGCAGCGCTGCTGTGAGTTCGAGACTCGCCTGGGCTACAAAGCGAGCTCAAGGCCAGCCTGAGCTGCTTAGTGAGAGCCTGTCTAAAAAGATAAAAAACAAACAAACAAACAAAAAACCCCAGAACACCTCTTCACTGGTGAACGGAAGACTGAGAGTCCAGGAAGCGCAAGAACCCTGCGGTGAAGGAGCGCGGGAGGGAGGCTGCGGGTGTGCAGCTGGGTTGCGATGTCCTCCAGCTTTTCCCTCTGGCCAGCCTAGACTCGCTGTTCCCAGGCCCTGCTAAGGCCTGTTCTGGCCGCTGGTGCCCAGGCCTGCCACAGGAGGGTGCCCCAAAGGCCCGGCGGTGGGATGGAGCGCCCCCAGTTTGGTTCAGGGGCGCCCATGAGCACCCTAGTACACAAAAGGCGCTCCAGAAATACTTCTAGACAAATGACGTCTGCGAAAACAGTGGATTTATTGTGGCCATGTTCAGAACGGAGAAGCAAGCCCTGCCCATACATAACCTGGGGCATCCAGGCAGGAGGGAGGCTGTGCCCTCTGCCTGGCAAGAGTAGAGAACCTGGGCCCGGTGTCACGGTCAGGGTACCAGTGTGTGTGTGTGTGTGTGTGTGTGTGCGTGCGTGCGCGCGCGCTGGGGGTGGGCGGTGTGCAGAAGCCATCTTCGCTCCCATGAGGCAGTAAGGGAGGGCACTGCCTCTGGGTGGGCCAGGAAGGCTGCCTGGAGGAGGGACCTTGGCTCTGTTCGCTCATGCACACCGAGGAACTGGCATTTTGGCAGATGGCAAGGCTCCCAGCAAGGCACATGGCCCTGCTGAGGCCAAGTGGTAGGTGCAGGTGGTAGCTTGCTAAATCCCGAAGTTCAGACTGTCAGGGAAACTTAGGAATTGGCAAGAACATGTCTCGAAAAATAAAAAAGGGCTGGGGTAGTAGCTCTGTGCAGAGGCCCTGACCAGATTTCAATCCCCAGTACCGGAGGTCAGAAGATTTGTAAGATATTAAATGGTGTTACCCTAGGCTTTGTGTTGGGGGTGAATTTTTTTTCGGAAGCCAGAGAAAGCTAATAGGTTACTACCTTGCAGACCAAGTTCCTCTACAACTGTTAGGCTGGACTGTGGCTTCCTGGTGACCCACTAAGTGCTCCTGGCAACAGGTGTGGCCAAGAACTGGTCCGGAAGGACGTGTCCTGGGTCTCCTGATGTTGCTCTGGCTGCCATGGAAAGAAGTGGCCTGCACTGCAATAGGTCTGTAGACACGCTGGGCCCAGGCATTCCCAGGCTGCCTGTCAGCCACCTGAGAGGCTGTCACACCCTGGTCAGTAACCCTTGGCACCCACTGCATTCCACGGTGGGGACACACAACACAGAAAAGCAAATCGGACAGGAGCCTCCAGCTGCACAGAACTCTACGTTTCTGGGAAATTCTGGGAAGGCTTACAGGACAGGAAAGGAGAAAGTGCTCCCTTCTCTGGCAGCCGCTGTGCACTGGGCAGGCTGAGACTAGAAGAGGTAGGCGAAGTCGGAGAAAAGGCAGGCACTGGGGAAGAGGGGTGCTGGCAACAGGCAACCTGCCAGGGTCTCTCGAGCTGGTCAGGACGCTCCTCACCTGAGAGGGCCTGGAAGCCAGAGGCAGCAGGGCAATGGAGGCTTCTTCAGCAGTGGGGGACTCAAGCCTGGGGGAACCCAGGGCTCTCCCGGGGTGCCTTGCCAGGTCATCACCTCTGCCTCTCAAAGCAGGACTTCCAGCCAGGCATGCCCGTGACAGCTATGCACCTAGGCCCAGCCTGCAAGCCGCACACATGGAAGTTCATGGGCTGGCTGTGGGGCATTGTCTTCGCACAGCCAGGGAATAGGAGTCCGTGGAACAAGAGGCCCAGAACCTTCAGATGTGCATGCTGATGCTCTCCAGAGCTCCAGAACAACGCTGGGCGTCCCGGCAGTCAGTACGCTGCCAAGGTCGGGCTGGTATCCTTGGCTCTAGGGCTGCAGGACCTGGAGTCCAAGGGATGCTGTGGGGAGGTCCATGGGATCAACGGTGTTTCCGGAAGGCCTCTGGGAATGACTGCAGTTTCTCCACCGTAGGGTTCATGGCTCCTGGTGATGGCGTTGGTACTGGGGGCACCCCACCAGCAGCTCCCACTTGAGGAATTGGGTGCCGCCATGCACCCCACCGAGGGCCTCCATGCTGACCCGAGGTCACAGGCCTGGGGACAGGCCCATTACCAAGTACCCCTGGCCCTCCTGCCCCCGCGTGGGGGGCCTGGCTCTGCCGTCCATGTAAGGGACTCGGCTCCCCATGTCCCTGGCTCTGTGTCCCACGTCTCTGACTCTGCACCCTGCGTGCTGGGCTCCGTTACCCACGTTCTGAGCTCCGCTCCCCAGGCACCCTCGGCTGTCCCCTCCACAGCCCTCGCGGTCGTCTGGGCTGGGGTCCAGGTCGCCGCTGGTGCGGGGCCCAACACCACGAGCTGCGGGTGCGAGGGGCTCCCAGTACGTGGGATGAGGAAGA